CAGGAGAATATGATATAGATAGAAACATTCGAATTCAATTCATGCCACTAATAGTTTCAGTCAGATGAGCTGAAACTCAACTTTAGTAAAAATTTTGATATGGAAACACGCATCTAAAAACCAAGAACCGAAGAAAAAACAAACAATCCTGAATGCTCCTTAAGGCGCGGTAAGCGTTGGCGCAATCATGACTCACACATCAGGCACAGGACAAGAGCGTTACCTACAGGACCTGCCCAGCCCATTTTATTTGTGCAAGGACTTGAGAGCAGTGGCTGTCCTGAATTGCCTCTGCTTGTTCCGCTCACAAATTCAATATTTCACCCAACGGCACTGGTGGTGGCACGGTATGTCGGTAAAGTCAAGCCTGCCCTAAACCAGATCTAACGTATGCTATCACAACAGTAAACAAAAAACTTACTATTAGAGAAACTACTCACAAGGTTGCTGAAAACTCCTCGACGGCCCACGACCGGTTTCGCTCTTCCACTTCGGGCTCATCAGGTGGGCGCAGGCCCAAGTTTCCGTCAACCTGATGATCTACTAGAGCCCAAATTGCACTGTTTTCGAGAAATACACTCACTTGCAAATCACTTTGGTTTTCACGGGAGGCTCAATTGAATCTCTTGTTTAGGATGTCCTCTAGCTGAATGTGCTGCACCGAGGCCGCCTCATAATTCAGTTGGCGCGATATTCGAGGTATCGCAGTATATTTTCATAAAGGAAACTACTCACAAGGTTGCTGAAAACTCTTCGACAGCCCACGACCGGTTTCGCCTTTCTTGGGGCTCATCAGGTAGGCGCACTCCCCGAGTTTCCGCCAACCTTATGTTCCACTCGAAACAAACTTGGAAATTATACAGAAAATATACTGCGACATCTCGGATATCGTGTCAGCTGAATCATGACGTGGCCTGTGTGTAGCACATTTAGTTGTAGAATATCATAAACGAGAGATTCAGTTGAGTCTGTCGTGAAAACCAAATTGAGTTGCAAATGAGTGCATTTCTCGAAAAAAATTACTGGCTGTGACGAATTTTTTGGCTTTGGCGAGACGCTTGCTGCAACCATAGCATTTACCGCGTACCCATTATCCACACCGGTGTACCGATTGCCGTTTTTGAAATCGGGCATTGTGGCCTCACTGAAACGTTTCACAACTGCGGCCACTTTTGGATGCCCGTTATTTTAAGCTGCTGTCTTACTCAAGCTGTAGTGCTTAATAACACACTGTTTGACAATCCGATTTTGAGTTATCAAGGTAGACAGGATCTTTTCTTCGCCCCGTCTGGATATAAGAAACACCCTGGATCCTCCAACCGATCCAAGGATATTCTTGATGCATCTTGCTTGCCGCATCTGCTGCCTGCTTGTTCTGCATATACACCCATCAATTCATCCAACGACGTTGTTGGTTGTTCGTTCTAACATTGGAGGTTATAGCTCCCCTTGCGCCAAACATAGTGCGCGCTGACCAGCGTAAAAGCAAACCTTTTCTAGCTGTGACGATTCCCTTGGTTTGGTCAGGACATTTGCCACAACGTTGGAATACTTTTTCATGTACAAGTAGCGAACACCTGCTCTATTTTGAGTTTGCGCGGACAAGGAGGACGTAATTATTTTTTGTTGTTTTTAGATTATTTATAAATCCAACACAGAGAAAATTACTTGAAGAAACCAGTATCTTCCACAAAATTCCCCACAGCTTTCAGAGACGCTAAATATGGATCCAATGGCAGCCACTCAGATATGATTTACAAGCCCCTAGTTAGCCTCCAACTCGTTTAAAAAAAAACCTGCCGGCTTCATGTGTAGATTTTAATAGTCCGAACAAATATCATGAAATGCCAAAAAACGCTGCGTTGAAGACTAGTTCCTTCAAACTACGGTTTCAGAAAAATTTTCGACGTACCCCCGAGGCTTAGAATTTTAGCAGTACATGCGAAAATCACGTTTAAAATGATCAGTTTCTGGTGCAAACTTCCAAAAGTTCTCAGACGATAAACACATCGGCTGACATATGGCGTCTTGCACCAATCCATGCGGCCGCCTGTCTGCAGCTATCTTCGGTACCCAGAGGCCTTTTCTTTCTCTACAGTAAGCGCAATCTGAAAATATGTAGAGCGTGGTTCGGTTCCTTATTGGCCGTCGGCGGCCAACCAAACACAACCCACCTGAGTGAGATATAATCCATCGGCTTCCCCAAAGCTACGCCTGTTACCGTTTAAGGCTTCACAGGCAGTTTGAACACTTGGTCAGCAACCTAAAATTGTTGGAAGCGTTCAAGTCAACATTCAAGTTCAAGCTGTATTTAGCACTGAATTGTGCGACCACAGCAACCTAGATGACGGTCTATGCCAAAAAACACATCCCTCCCGTTGTCACTTCGTCTTCTAAGACACAGTTGAGATGAAAGTCCACTCGCACGAGCCCCTCACCTCCGTACTAGTAATATCTCAGCACTCATAGCCCTGCATTCAATCGTGGTGGTGGCTTATACGTTGTAATAATTATACGTCGTAAATACCTCCGCTCTGTCCTCAATAAAATGCAAACAAAAACGGAAGCTCGTGAAACTGATAATCAGGCTAGATATCATTTTTATATGCCTGTCTTAAATCAAAAAGCAGGAAAGCTAAATCCGACCTCTTTTGGCCGATTGTAAAAGTGATCAACAGGATGTTTGTAGGCGAAGTTTATAACAGTAAGACATGTCGACACATACAATCAGTAACTACACTAGGTTGACCTGATTACACCTTTGTCTTGTCAGGGTCACCGTTTTGTGAAAGTGGATTACAGTAGACGAGAATCGAAATTACTACTGATGACAGTAGACCTGGTGAATCAGATAAGTGAAATGGGGTCATCCAACAGCAGCGGTTTTAAAATATCCAGATCTGGTGCAGGCACAGATACAACATAGATAGGAATGGTGATAAGGGGACGTATTTGGTTGTTTGATTAGGCTGTCATGCATAGCGAAGGCATCACATTCGGTGGCGTGCATACGTACTGGCCCAGTAGTTCCGGTTATAAACTGAGGTAAGGGCACCGTACCCCGAATACTCGCCAATATTCCATGTTAAATAGTAGCTTTGGGTTTCTGCAGAATAGATGAATTCAGAGGATTAAAATATTGTTGGGGGGAATCTTACGAGTTTTCCCGCTTGTTTCAGGCCACTGGAGTGAGAGGAGTTATTTACGTCAGAAATAAGGTATCGAATCCTTTGAACTTAAGAAACGGCTAGTTTTCAGACGAATTTCGGCATAACGGCAGTGTGGCGTTCTTACGCCATTTCTTTCCACCATAATTCAACATCAACAATGGCACACAATAAAGGGGTACAAACGGTTACACGTCAGGTGGGCACAGTGGAGAAAGTGTGCCACCAACATTTTACAAAGTCCTGAACCACTGATCATACGGGCTAGGGGCAGGCGTATCAGCGTGGGACAAACGGATTGGTAAAAGGGAACATTAGCCTCGTCAAACCCTTTTTAATATCACCAGCTGGGTATATTGCCCTTTGCCTAAACAACGGACTCTACCAAATGCCGATGGCGAATAGAAGCAAGGGCTCAGAAGTAAATTTTGAGGCCTAAAAACTACAATATTCGCAAGGTTATTACTTTATAGAAAAGAACATCTGTCCAGGGAATCGTTCTGAAATTCATTTGCATGCGTTATGTATTTGAGCGAGCCACTGTTCAAGGTCATCAATCGACATCGGCTGCAAAAACGGTGCCTAATGTAATGAGATATCGCGACTTGCGGTGATATCAGAATCGCTTACAACAGATGCAGGTTTCCTATATATCTGAAGCTGAAGTAATTTAATAAGCTTCCTAAAATCCACATTCCACTCGTTGACGCAGAATATGCGGAAGTGCTGTCCCTGTGAATGAGTCTCGCTATTTATATCTGCTGTACGGGACGAATATTGATTTAAGCGCTATGCGGCCTCAATAATTTTTAGTTCGCATTATCATAGAGAAAGATTTATTATTATTTTTGTATGAATCCTGGGAAACTGAAAGAACTTAAGGCTTGCATATGTGGGTGACCTGTTCGCTTACATCAAGTTTGGTGACAAGGTACAGCCGAGTTCTCCATTGTTACTGGCAAAAACCTGTCGGGACAATTCTGTCGGTTATTATAGCGGACAGCTGAACAAACCTAGTTAAAACACACGATTGGTGATCTATGGTGACTCATCAACTAATCAAATCGGACCTGTCTCGGTCATAGTGGACAGCTAAACGGAACTTCCTGAAACACACGACCAACAGGCGGCCAGGGGTCCCCAATATCACAATGTTCACGCCCATCCAACTCCACCGGGAAAAGTCGAAGGTCCAAATTGCATGGCACTGAAGGTTTCATTTTACTGGTCGTTTTGATCAGTATACATATCCTGCCGGGAGCTGTTTCACCTTCCTGGTTTGTAGTGGCCTATTGATGTCCTGAAATGAGAGGCATTTGGCTGACAGACCTTGAGCGGCACCCTGTGAAAGGAGCACTTATGTACTGACTGTCTGTTATAAGCTTGTTCACACAACACCAGCTTCAACGGCTGATTCGCATTGCATGTTTTCTTGCAGCTTGGTGCCTACTGGCCGTGAGGCCTTAAGAAATATGGGACCCACATGAAATGCATGAGGTTTCTTCGTAAGACGAACGGTCTTGAGCTAATGAATCTTGCGTAAGTCACACGAAATGTTCGTAGTCGCTTTCTAGTTACTCTCTCTACAGAGTTAGTCCTGGTATTAAACCATTAAAGCACGGTTCTCGATCAGCTGCTCCTTGGAGCCGAAAGTATGGAGGAACACGCTTTCGGAATAAACTTTGTAGGGAGCCTTTCTTTTTCTGATTAGTTAGAAAGCGCGCCTTTGTGTTTTCTGGACGGACTGGACCACCAAAAACAAATTGGTCGTCCGCGGAATAACTTTTGGGGCAAGCCTGAAGGGCACCACCACACAGAAACCAAGGTTCCCCATTACATCAGCTGATGCGATATGTACGCAACCAGTTGCACAACAACGGTCATTAGTACCAGTCGGCGGTCACAATGCATATCTAATAAAAAGGAAAACGCGGAGAAAATGACTTTTACACGCATGTTTTCGTCTTCATTAAACTTAGATCAAGGTGAGCTACGTCAGCCACTAAAAAATGAATTCCAGGAATAAAGCAGACCTTACATAAGCTTAAACAAATCTTAATATAACAGTGACACTGGGGTATTTCAGGGCATTAAGTAAATAACGACAAACACTACAACCTTGGGCAAATGATTCATTCGATGAAACTTTGCTCCGAAGGGGATTTGGATGTGCAACTGGGGATTGATGCAAGCTTCTGCGAGACTGCCTTTGCACCCTGGCTGCGGCCCACAATTTTCACGAAAGCTAGATTCCTTAAAATAGGCACAGGGAATCGGGAGAGTGAAGATTTATACTCAATTATTCCACCTGAACGTCCACCAGGACTGCATGAGCCTTCTTTAACAAAGCTTGAAACTTACCACACATCAGAGCAGCCAACGAGAGGCAACCGTTCCGTTCATCAGCCTCAGAGATCTTACAGTATTTTCAGCGAACCAATGGAAGTAGCTTCCGAAAGTTACAATCAACTGTTTAGATCGCCTGGTTCAGAAGGGCTCATGACCGTTTGAGGCTAGCACCACAAAGTTTTGTCACAGAGGTGACAGTCAAATATTGGATCCCATTGAGACGGGACTTACAGGTACGTCACCAGTACGAGAAGCCGCTGGTGGAATCATGCATCCAGCGAATAGGTTGTGAATATTTGGCCAACTGAGAACTGATTGTATACTACCTAAAGTGCACTAATTTCGAGACCCCGTAATCTTATCGCTAGTGATTTTGGATCTGGTGTAGTGTCCCTGCTGTATCGAATGCGAATGTTGCACACTTTTACTCAGGCATGACTGCGCTTCTCGGAATTCCGGGGCCTTATTTCTGCCCTTTAACGCCACAGCCAGGATAGTTTTTACTATCTCCCACCATGCTCGGAAACGTTAATGAAAATGACTCAGTATCTGCGGAAAATTTTTAGCGCGATTTCACCGGGCGGGTGCGGAGTATGCAGGAGCTTAGTATGCATGGAATACCTAGATATTACAGGTTGTTGACTCTTGAGAAGTATCTGGTACGTGACCAATTCAGTGAAATATTTAGGCTGTTCTGAGAGCCGAGTGAGGTGGACGCTTCTTAATTCAGTATTCAAAGGCGACGGTCAGTAAATTCAATTTGAGCCTGGCAATTGCCGGCACGACGTCTTCTGAAATGCAGCCGGGCACGCGCCCTTCACATGTGCGTGCACCTCATCCCCCGGTTGGCCGCTTTCTTAGCGTCAAGAGATTGTCGGCTGGCAAGCAGGCATAGCACCTGTAGAAGCAAATCGGTTATGCCCCACACTGCCTCTAGTTCATCTGCGTTCACTTCTTTGGCTATCATCAGCACCGTGGACAAAATATGAGTTTGAAAACGAGTTGATAATTTAGTATGCCATCGGATGATGACGGATATGCCTTAGCTCCAGGCACAATGATCTGGTCGCCAAAAAGCCTTCGTTGCCAAAACTTGCGTTTCTGTGCTTTGCGGTCTTTTCCGACCAGAAAACCCCACATTTCATGGAAGGAGCGACGTAGATCAGCCGGATAAAGAAAAATACTAAACGAGCCATTCTCAGTTCATTTCACCGGAGAATGCGAGTGGGTTGAGTTTTGACGAAACACTCTAATCGGGTCCGGAATCCGCGGTGGGTGTGCTGTTTTAAATTTTCACTGTCAACTTTTAATTTTATTGGAAGGCTAGAATGAAGACTTTATCACCTATGCTAATAGAGCTGGTTTAGAGTGTGGTCAATTAGGGTAACCATTTTGTCCGAAAATCGGTTCAGGTGTTTGATTTTTACTTCCGGCCCTGATCTCTTGGTGACCCATTAGCCGCACAATACTTTTAGCTGCAAAACCTTCCAAGTGGAATGAAACCCTTACGCCAAAATATTACATTTTGTAGCGTATTTGTTCAAGCAAAAATTCATCCCAATTTACTTCCATACTTTTCCCGCTAAACGAATTTCATTGTTCACTGGGCCAATCATACCTCTGGTGGAATAAGTTCCAAGCATTTATGATACACCGAGATGCCGCGATGGGGCTCAAAAGACTGAAATCGCACTCTCAGCCCAATTGCCCATCTCATTTCGTCCAAAGGGACACGTCGTCGCTTTTGAAATTTCAACTCCATTGTGCGGATACTGAGCTCCGGTCTATTTCTCACTCTAACTCCGCTGTTTGGCCTCGCGCTGGTAGGATTAATACCCAGGGCTGTGAACTCGAAGAACACTGACAAACCCTTCTTCTTCTTGTGCCTTTCAGGCGAATGGAAGCTGTTGAACACCGAGAAAAACCTGATCCGTAAATTCGTGAAATTCATTGGTGTCCCGAATCTGCTTTATACCGAAAGGCGCATTCGCTTCGGACACTCAGTACGCAAGACAACGGAAGATCTCTGTAGTTTTCCTTATAAATGTGTCACAGAAGCCTCTATTAGGTGGAGTTGGGGTCTTCATAATGGGGCGAGAAACCCTGAGTTTAAGAACGTTTCCGAAGGGCCCGTGTTTCAACCAATAAGGACGCCGTTTTTGGTCTGTGGCTGGTTCCCACATATGCGTTCAATCCGCGTGGGCTTCGTTTTTTTCAAGCTTTTCTACTGTGGACAGAAAGCCATGTTAGCAAGGGCGGACAAGTCCTTTGATTTGAGGTTTCAAGACGTTACGCCTCCTTAACCTCAAACATGATATGGTCAGTTGCAGCAAAAAGTTACTTTTTGATGATGATGATGATGATGATGATGATGGCCGGTCAGGTCGTCTGGATCCAGGCATTGTGATGACTGTAAGGGATTTTTCACGGGCACTTGTGCAGCCGTCTTAGACGCAAAGCAAACTCCGGGTTGGGAAATCTACAAGAACACATTCGGATTGACATATGCCGCGTCCCTGAATGGGCACCCCGCAACTCAACTCATCTATGGCTAATGACGCTGGCAGCCATGGCCCAATCGCGCAGTCAGTGGCGCTACTGCATCAAGGCTATCGCCTTCAATGTGTAGCCACCCATCAGTTCCCGAACTAACGGAACATGCCATTGCCCTCGGAGCTTGGCTGTATGACTCACTTTTCCACTTTCCAATGATCGAAATCAGTATGCCTATGTTGCACGGTTTGTAACTTATAAATTTATCGATTAAATGATATTCATGCCTTGGACACTCCCCTTATGTTCGTTTCCTGTTTCATGTAGAAGAGAACACCATTACAAGGAAGCCATCCTTTTAATTCAAACCTAACGTGGCACATGACTATAGTTTCCCACGCAGTCTTGCCTGCCTGGAGTAACTTACCACATACAATTGGTAGGTCTACTACAACGGAACAATCGAAACACGGCTCGACTCGTTTTTGTTGTCAAACGTTTCTGAAGATATTCGCTTAGTTTCCCAGTCTGTACAAAATGAATGACAACTGGATCACAGGCATTGTAATATGCACGCTATGGAAGCATCAGGGGACAGTGATTCTCCGAAGGCAGGTGTTCATGACAATTTCTGTGGATGGAAAACAGAAATAAAGCTCATTAGCCCAGTAAGCGAGGTTGTACATCACCAATACTTACATATAAATCAACCATATTGACAGACACCGTATACTACAGGCATACACGAGGTCACTGATTTTTCTCCTACGCAAGTTTTATCATCTTTATAATTTGTTGAGTGTAGAGAACATTTTACCGTTCTAATAAATGCGTTTATGATAATACTCGTAACACAACTTGTCTGAACACTTGTTAGATCCCCATTCCCCACTCCCCGGATAAGGGACGTTATCTGATGATATTCGCGAAAATCTGGAAGCAGATCCTGTGGTTCTCGACGACACCAATACATAGTGAAAGCGTATTGCAGGTTTGATTTATGACGCCCCCACTAGCCACCTAGGAATTATGCCAGGTCAAAAGAAGGATTGGCTCGCAGAACGCACCACTCGCTCTTCAACCCATGTTGAGTGGGGAATCTGTCGAATGCGCCAAACTCCCGCTCACCCCTTGGTAACAGCTCATTTTGCCAGGCTCAACCTAAGTCGCTATTGGAACAACACGACAACAATTACGGAAGTTGCGTTAGACGTCGGTGATTATGCAAAAGCGTCTTGCCTTCTGTAGCTCGACCCTCGCCTACCCGATGCGACGTATCCTGTGGTGTAGCCTGAGGTGGCCAACTACGGACAGTCTAGCAGATGCCTTGAAGCTGAACTGTGGTGAGCGACCGGATTAGTCAGTCATTGAAGTAGTTCGAAGCATCCCTATATCACCAATTCTTATCCGAATTCAATGAAGTGGAATAGGGCACAGAAGTCCGGTACACTATGATGGAGCGAACTAGGGGACTACTCGCTATACCCGACAGAAGAAGCAACATTCAAGCTGAATTGCTTGTCAACGTAACAGCGTGAAACATTTAAGTTGCGGAGTGGTGGTCGAAGTCTAAAAATAGCCTCGTTGCGGTGCTACATACAATCGATAACATGTCACTCTTTCATGCACTCCTCCCCAATCCCCACGTCATTGTGAGTACTCCCAGCACTGGGACCCCTCTTCTGTCTCCTTCACATATTCATTCTTCTCTCCGCCTCGTCCCGTTTCTAGTACATTCCTGTAGGTCTGTCCCTTAGAACTGACATCCGTTCACCGCTGACTTCAACATGTACATTGACTGGGCCGCAAACACTTCGAAATTACTCTTCAACCTCTGGCACCCAGGTCATCTGGGAGCCTGTAACATTCGCATTCTGAAATAACAGACTGCTCTTGCATGTACGCTGAATTCACTCACTGCTTATGTGCGATGTCGTCTGAAACGAGGATTCAAGACCCAATTACGGTTGGGCTTGCGTCTCCACAATTTCCGCTCGCTTCTGGTTGCGCTTCCAACTTCTGCCCACCGATGAACCAGCTCTAATCCCAAACAAACCACGTTGCTGTCAGT